GGACCCGCGACCGCAGCAGCGCCTGCGCCACGGGGCCATCCAGCTCTTGTTGGAAGCAGCCGTACGCATGCTCCTTCCGCAGCCATTCGCCTGCGTTTCTACAAAAAATTACCATTTTAATAGACCTCCTGTGATAGAAACACGATAGCTGCCTTTTCGGTTCGGTTTATGGATTTTGGAGCCGATTGGTGATCGACCGGGTCCTTCCGCAGTGCACGGCTCCTGTGAGCTTGATAAAATTGACAGCCAGTCTGTTATAAAAAAAAAATAGATTTTAGTGCCAAACACACATAAAAAAGGAAAGCCATAACTTGTGGGGATAAAGTGCTAGCCGTGACCCGTGGTCAAATGAGCTGCTGTCCCATGGGAGTCCCACATGAGCACTTCGAAGCGCCGCAGCGAGGCAAGCAAGTCTCATAGCCAGGCTAGTAAATCATATTTTAAACCCTGCAAGCAGCTGCCCGCTTCGTCTCATAAACATAGCGGCGTCGCACGGTTCCCTGATACATGTAATTGCGTTGCTCTGTGGATATAGATTATTTCTTGATCTATAATAACGTCTTAACAAGGCAGAAAGCCGCTGGACGTCTCCGTAACGCTAATGATTGACTCTCTCTGTTTTTTTCCTCCTGTGCAATGGGAAGTGCCACCCAATCTGACTGTTCCTCAGGAGAAGTCGCCGCTGGTCGCCCGCGAGGGAGACACCATCGAGCTGCAGTGCCAGGTGACGGGGAAGCCCAAGCCCATCATCCTGTGGTCGCGAGCCGACAAGGAGGTGGCGATGCCGGACGGCGCGATGCAGTCGGAGAGCTACGACGGGATCCTGCGCATCGTGAACGTGTCCCGCGACATGACGGGGACCTACAGGTGCCAGACCAGCCAGTACAACGGCTTCAACGTGAAGCCCAGGGAGGCTTTGGTGCAGCTCATAGTGCAGTGTAAGTGCTCCCTGGTTTTCCTTGCGTGTGGTTCTGCCGAGAAAAAGAGAAGTTGATTTATTTCCCTCCTAAATACACAGCAGCAAGAATCTTACGGTTGTTACATTTTTGATGCTGTGCTGTGTGGCTCCCTGAATCATGATTTTAATGTAAATGCAGAAGTAAAAATGACATAGGAGTCCCATTTATATTAAAGAAGTATGAGGCAATCATTATTTTCCCAGTTCCCAGCTCTAAATTTTCAGGCATAAGAACAAGCGCACAAGGTAGGAGGACACATTTCTATAAATATGGATCTGATCCTGATCTCATTTGTTGATACCATGTAAACAAAATGGAAAAAAAATGAGAGCGAGACCCGCTCCATCTTAGCTGATGTGTATACGGATGCGCAGAGCGCTCTGTTCTGGCTCTGGTTATGAACTGTCAGCCGCCCTTGCAGGAAGGGAAAAATAAGGGCAAGGCAGTCGTGTTGGAAGTGCTCAGCATTCGGGATGGGAAGCGGAGCCCGTTCGGGTGCTTTATGGGCAGCGAGGCGCCGTTCCTTGCTGCAGTGCAGCTCATAGAGATGCTCGCGAGGCCACTCGGATGAGCCTGCTCTAGCATCACTAGTTTTCTCACTGTTTAAAAAAGTGATTGTGCAGCCTTATTTATTGCAGTCTCAGGTCCCCAATCAGCTTGTTGAGGGCAATTTTGGTTCAACCCAACCGACCACATCGGAGGCCTCCAGGGATGAGATACTGCAATGTACGCTGTTGTTGTTAATAATTAGCCGGATTGGATGTTTTTCAAGGTGTGTTGTGTAGCAAACTATTTATGCACTTGATTGCATGACACGGCAGCCCTTGCTGGCCGGGGCACGCAGGCAGTGGGTCTCACAAGGAGGAAAGCAGAAAGCAGCTTCCTTTCCTTTTTGTGTCACTGATTTGGTGTGGGAACCGTGAGAGTTTTCTGCTCCCTGGCCGCTTGGCTCTTCCATCTCAGCCGTTGAGTTTCTGTTCTGTTTTGTCGGAACACATCATCTGTTCCGTGGCCGCACAGAGCCCCGCGGGGTGCCCATCGCGTCCCGTGTGTGCGGGTGCAGAGCGCGGGGGTGACAGAGCGTTCCAGCCTTGGGGAAGGGGGCAGGATAAAGCCCTGGGGGCGGTTCCTGAAGGCACATCCACTCCAGCAGGTACAGGGAACAGGGCGAGCAGGCTGTCCTCCCTTCTCCTTCTTTGATAGTTCCATTTTAAGATTTTTCCCATCTTATTTCCTGGGAGCATTCCAGGCGCAGGCGAGCCCCGTTTCACACGTCTGCAGACAACAACTTGCTTTTTCCCCTGACGTCCTCAGAAGCTGGGTGGTGCAGGAGGGCTGAGAGCTCAGAAGCTCTCCCAGCGTTGCTCTGAGGCCACTTGTGGGGTCCCCCATGCTTTGCCCTGCAAGAATTCATTTCCAAGTCTCCAGAAGCCATAGAAACTCTTGCATTAATCCAGTGAGCTCCGCATCGTTTATTCTGGATCCATTTCAGAATAAATAGGTGATGTTATTTCCTTCATGCAGGTGGTAAATGTTCTGGAAGCAGATGGCTGGGACTGGCAGGTTGTTAGGGGGCCGTGCAGACATCCCAAACCCCTCTTTGTGCCCTCAACGCAGTGGGGTAACTCCTGCTCCCATGGGGGCTGTCACCTACAAGCACCAGGTAGCTGGGCTGGCTTGCTTGGATTGCTGTTATTTTACTGTAGTATTGAAGGAAAAACCCGGGGATGTATGTACAGATATTTTAAGCACCGCATTATAGGCAGCAGTTCATGTATTCTGAAAGAGATCAGAGACGCGACTTGAAAATGGTTATAATAAGCAGGAGTATAATGGGTATTTACAGGAGCTTTTTCTTTAATCTGTCCTTGTTCGGATTTCTGCTCGCTTTATTCAGATGCTAGCAAGTGACAATTTGAAGATAAACGGACAAAACGGGCATTATGTAATGCTTTGATTATTTTCCTTGTGGGAGAAGAGCATGTGCGTTCCCATTGACTGCAGCCTTGTTTCTTAATTGGCATAGCATTTATTTAGTTGTTATAAAAATCACTTCTTTTGAGCAACTTTGTAATATTTGCTTTGGAGATGCTTCCGTAAGCCGTAAACAGGGCTGGGTGTTTAAGGAAACCCTCAGGTTTGTGTAGTAACTCGCGGATTTGGCTGCAGACGCGGCGCGGGGCGCGGGTGCTGGTGGTGAGCCGGGCGCGATGCCCTCGCCGCGTCCTGCTCCCGGGGCAGCTCGGTGCCCGGCCTGC